GATTTCATTCAATATTAATGAAATCTGATTGGTTAATCAGAACGTTTCTCCGCCCCGCTTCACCTTTGTTGAATCCGGACCTAATTTGTGAAAGTGGTGCTACTGAATGTATCTGTATCACAAATGGCAATTGACACAGGCATGACGTTACTTCTGGGTGCGACCAGACGGTAAAGTTGGCGAATTCAATGACCTTGTGGGTCGTCCAAATATAATTGTTGCGTAACAGCGGTAAACAATAACGGTTTGACAACTGAATCATACGCGCTGAGTTGTTCACTAATTTATGAACAGACGTCACAACATGTTAAGCATACTGTGGCGTCTTAGGCCACGTTCAGATGATGGGAACTCAAAGCGCGTTTTGGTAACGCACGTTTACAACATGTATTTTATTCTCAGAGTACACATGAAGCGATATGCTATACGCGTAGAGCGCTCCATCATCTGAACCAGGCCTTATATGGTTGTAATAAGGGTGATATTGCAACAAAAATGTGAAGTCTGAGATGCTGTTCGGTTGACTGTACACACATAACATCGTGGCTTGACCATTCATATTGAAGACTTCGTATGAAGCTTCCGTTATCAACAAGACAGTTTGGGCTTCTAGCCAACCAGGTTTAGTTAGGAATTACCAGACACCTACGTCATCAAAAATGCATAACGTCACGTTGTTTGTGCGACTGATGTTGTCAAGTACTGTATTGGCGTGCAAGATTATTGAACAAAGTGATGTCTAGTGCTACACTGGAAGTACACATAATTATCCAGGTGCACATGAAAATGCATCTGTATTGTATTTTGATGAGAGGATCATCTTACTCGATAGTGGCGTCAACCTGATACCATTGCGATAGTTCTATTATATTACTATTCTATCTGGCTTCAATGGTGCGTATTTGATGCACACTGGCTTTTTTCTGCCGCTTCAGCGCTCATCAGTTGGCACTACTGTCTATATTTTTTATTTTATCTTACCACTAAGAAGTGACAAGGAACTTACTCGCCAGGTGGTACAAAGCACAAATACTCATCGATAGGCCGTAGTAACTAGCCCTTGTACCGCTGGTCGTGGTGAAATCCCTTATTATTTATTTTAATTAAGTTTATGGGGGTCGATTGGGCAAATGCAAAAGTCCCCAAATAAATAAAGATTTTGAAAAATAAAACCCTATTGCACTGTTGTAAATGATCATTAAATCAACAAAATACTGACCAGCATACGTTTACAGGTGGACATGATCTTTGCTTCGTTCATCCGCAACGGCGCGGCGCTGCAAGAAATCCGCGGCATCCTTGGCGACAAGGGAAAGAACATCAAGATCATCTCCAAGATCGAGAACCACCAGGGCATGGTCAACCTGGACGAGATTATTGCGGTAAGTGTGACGTTTACACGACTTTATTCATGTCAGTAGTTGGACGGATCCTTAAGGCTTGGGCAGACCAAACGCGGGGCAGTAGCAGCGCAGTTTGAATGCGGGCCCGCGCAAGTTGTAATACAAGAAACTCTTTGAAGTGTGTCACACCAAATTTGAACGCGGGCCGGCGCTGTTGTATTACTAAGGCGGCCGTATTAGCATGACACACCGGAGGCAGGGCGTTAGCAGCGCGTTGAAAGCGGTTTTCGAATATTGAAATTTTTGACAACCGCCCGCGTTGCAATGTGGGTTTTCGCGAATGAAAGATCCGCTAGATGGCGGGACGTGGATGTGGGGTCTGACTGCTGCGTGATTGGTGGATTTTGACATATCTGTCAATGTCATGTCAAAAATAACCAATCATGCAGCATTTGGACCTCGCGTCTACGTATTGCCATCTGGCGGATTTTTCATTCGCGAAAACCCTCATTGCTTTGAAACTGCGCTGCTTTCAGTGTGCCTCAGCCGCGCTGCAACTGACCCGTACTACTTCTGACCTGCGTTTGGTCTGTGGAAACCTTTAAAGGACAAAGTTGTAAGGTCAAGGTATTTCGAACTCGTGATATCCTATATCAATCACAATGTTGGTCTACTCAACCTTCATTGGTTGGGTCTCATTGAAGGCTTAACTGTTAGATCCTGGCAGAGTGGTGGGAAATAACTTCTTTTGTACAATATGTATTTAGTCTCGGATTCTAAATTAGCCTAACTAATTAAAAAACCTATAGCAAAATGTTGAATTTAGATTTCTGACAACTGAAGATTTTATCAAAATAAAAATACTTCTCTTGCTTGCCAAAATAGTGCGCCATTTTCTGGATATGTCAAGTCAAAAGTCGCGTGCAATTTTCTAATCTTTGAACGGATGAGGCCAATCTTCATTTGCTACCGTTTCCTGCCTTCATAGCACAAACAGTCCGGATTGCCAAATAGTTCTAGTTACATCTATTTTAATCTGATAACAATGATTCTATTGACCCACGAAACATAGATTAATTTTTCTTATTGCGCAATTATTAAGATAGTTTTTCCTTCGATCAGAAGCTCGTCTCTAGCTGCTTTGTAAACCCCTATTGTGGCTGAATTTAATCATTATATTTTGAACACTATACCAAGGCATTAAGGTTAAAAGCTAATAAATAAAAACTCTTTTGAATTCCTTATAACATGTTTTTTTTTATAAAATCGTATTTGATCTTTCTTCATAACCAAATAATGTTAGCTAAACCAACGGTTAATGAATACTTAGTTATTAAATTAAATAAAATTAGTCGTATCTTAATATACTAAGAAACCTAAAGTAATTGTAAAGTTAATTTGTAGGAAATAAAAGGCTTTTTTATTTTTATTTTTATTTATTTGATCTAAGAATGTTTTATTCACAGGAATCTGACGGTATTATGGTCGCCCGAGGTGACCTGGGTATCGAGATCCCGCCAGAAAAGGTGTTCTTGGCCCAGAAGACCATGATCTCCCGCTGCAATAGCGTAAGTATAAACAATATATTACGATAGATACACTATATTCATATAAATTTGCATAGTTATCTGGACGCATAACCTTAAAAACTACGAATTTCGGTTTTTAATGCCGTCCAATCTAGTGCAGAATTGTGAAACCTATTCGAGTAGTGCCAGATATAGCATTCAGCTATTGTACCCTCACTACACTTCATATTATTAAACATTTCATGCTCTTTATCCACTTATTTGCATCGGGAACCCGTCTTCTAAGCACTTACATATTTATGACTTGGGCAAACGATGTAATTAACATAGTTTGAGGGTATTGTACTGTATAGATAATAGAAATTTTAGCGTTTTAATTTATAATTAACATATCAATTTCTTATTTATTCTAATCATGACTGTACTATTTTTTTTTTGGAAAAATATTTTTTTCATGTGTTACACAAGATATTAGCTTAATAAAATCCTTGAATTCATCCCAAAAGCTAGGAAAAAGAGCAAAAAATAAGTAAAAAATAATTTTATATTTTCACCTACACAAACAATTGAAATTAAAGTTATTCACGGCATAGTAACAAGCAAGGGTGCATTAAAAATAGAATTGATAATCTGCTAAACAGTCTATTAATAAATGAAAACCCTGGTCGAATTGACCATTCAAACACTTATTTATTAAAAAAATATGTCCCCAGGTCGGCAAACCAGTAATCTGTGCCACTCAAATGCTCGAGTCTATGGTTAAGAAGCCCCGCCCCACTCGCGCCGAAACCTCTGACGTAGCCAACGCCATCTTGGACGGAGCCGACTGCGTCATGCTCTCCGGAGAAACGGCCAAGGGAGACTATCCATTGGAATGTGTGCTGACCATGGCCAATATCTGCAAGGAGGCCGAGGCTGCTATCTGGCATAAGCAGCTGTTTGTTGACCTTGTTAATGAGGTAAGTAAATCAACCGTATTTTGTGGTTATCTGTACGAAAAACCAGCGCAATCCGTCGTTCCGTTCAGGAGGTATTCAAGGACAAACATTTAGAGAGATCTAGCTGCCTTAGACGTAGCGAATGCCATCTTGGACGGAGCTGATTGCGTCATGCTCTCCGGAGAAACGGCCAAGGGAGACTACCCGTTGGAATGTGTGCTGACCATGGCCAATATCTGCAAGGAGGCCGAGGCTGCTATCTGGCATAAGCAGCTGTTCGTCGACCTTGTTAATGAGGTAAGTAAATTAACCGTATTTTTTAGTTATCTGTACGAAAAAACCAGCTCAATCTGCGCTTCCGTTCAGGAGGTATTCAAGGACAAACATTTAGAGAAATTTAGCCGTCTCAGACATAGCGAATGCCATCTTGGACGGAGCTGATTGCGTCATGCTCTCCGGAGAGACGCCCAAGGGAGACTATCCATTGGAATGTGTGCTGACCATGGCCAATATCTGCAAAGAGGCCGAGGCTGCTATCTGGCATAAGCAGCTGTTCGTAGACCTTGTTAATGAGGTAAGTGCAGGTGTTTGTTCTTGCTAGGTGGCACCACTGGCGAGTGAAAGGAAATATCATTTTTTAAGTCGACAGTGGCGACAAGATGGTGCCCCTGTTTTAACTTCTAGCAAATGATCTATCGTATCCTTAACGTGTATGTGAGTTTATAGGCGTACCTAATAAATATGATACGAACAATTTTACTTTAGGGTCAAATATTAGGTTTAATAATAGGTTTACTTAAATATCTTCAAGGTCAGAGTGCACCATCCTAGACTACATCTCACTTAACATCAGTGTGATTGCTGTCAAATACCTGCCTTGTAAACAACTGCATATAGATGACCCACGCTGAACTGTCCCACCAAACTCAATGACAGGGGGGCGCTACCATCGTTCAACTATATGGCTTCCAACATGGCAAAAATCGGAACCAGCGATCCGGTATTGACGGTGGCGCCCTGCTGTCAATGTCATGGATAGGACAGTTCAGTATTTTGGAACTTATACATAGGCCATTCAGTGTTAGTTTTACGAGTATTCATATTTATTTGTTTGAGAAATAGACATTCCATTTTGTCCGTGTCCAATACGCATCTGTTATCAGTGACCATCACCAAAATCTTCCAATTCCAGGTGAAGCCGCCCATCAAGCAGGACCACTCAGTTGCCATCGCGGCAGTCTCAGCATCCAACATTTGCTTGGCATCCGCCATCGTCGTCATCACGACCTCGGGCCGCTCCGCCCATCTGCTGTCCAAGTACCGCCCGCGCTGCCCCATCATCGCCGTCACGCGCCACGACCAGACCGCGCGCCAAGCGCATCTGTACCGCGGGGTACTGCCTATTGTCTACCAGGGTGAGGGTGAAAACTGTTCTATGTTACTTCTCAGGCTTTTAGGGACATCTGTACGAAGAACCAGCTCGATCCGTTTCTCCGTTCAGGAGATATACCATGCCCCATCATCGCCGTCACGCGTCACGACCAGACCGCGCGCCAGGCGCATCTGTACCGCGGCGTGCTGCCTATTGTATACCAGGGTGAGAGTGGAAACTAGTCTCATGTCTTTCCCTAGGCTTCTAGCTATATCGATGCCAAAAATTTGCACGATCCAGCGTTTCGTTCAGGAGATAATCAAGGACAAACAAACATTATCTCCATCTTTCTTCGTTATTCACCACCTCGGGCCGCTCCGCCCATCTGCTCTCGAAGTACCGCCCACGCTGCCCCATCATCGCCGTCACGCGCCACGACCAGACCGCGCGCCAGGCGCATCTGTACCGTGGCGTGCTGCCTATTGTATACCAGGGTACGATAATCATGTCACTTCATAGGTTTTAAGCTACATCCTTGCCAAAAATCAACTCAATCCGGCGTTTCGTTCAGGAGATATTCAAAAACAAAGAAACACACAAAAGTCATCGACGTCACGCGCCAAGACCAGACCGCGCGCCAGGCGCATCTGTACCGTGGCGTGCTGCCTATCGTGTACCAGGGTGAGACATTTGCCTGTGTTATTCCCAAGGCTTCTAGGGTCATCTGTACGAAGAACCAGCTCGATTCGTTTCTCCGTTCAGGAGATATACCATGCTCCATCATCGTCGTCACGCGCCACGACCAGACCGCGCGTCAAGCGCATCTGTACCGCGGGGTACTGCCTATTGTCTACCAGGGTGAGGGTGAAAACTGTTCTATGTTACTTCTCGGGCTTTTAGGGTCATCTGTTCGAAGAATCAGCCCGACCCGTCGCTCCGTTAAGGAGATATTCAAGAACAAAGAAACATTATCTTCATCTTTCTTCGTCATCACCACCGCGCGCCAGGCGCATTTGTACTATGGCGTGCTGTATATTGTGTACCAGGGTACGATAATCATGTCACTTCATAGGTTTTAAGCTACATCCTTGCCAAAAATCAACTCAATCCGGCGGTTCGTTCAGGAGATATTCAAAAACAAAGAAACACACAAAAGTCATCGACGTCACGCGCCAAGACCAGACCGCGCGCCAGGCGCATCTGTACCGTGGCGTGCTGCCTATCGTGTACCAGGGTGAGACATTTGCCTGTGTTATTCCCAAGGCTTCTAGGGTCATCTGTACGAAGAACCAGCTCGATCCGTTTCTCCGTTCAGGAGATATACCATGCTCCATCATCGCCGTCACGCGACACGACCAGACCGCGCGCCAGGCGCATCTGTACCGTGGCGTGCTGCCTATTGTCTACCAAGGTGAGAGTGGAAACTAGTCTTACGTCTTTCCCCAGGCTTCTAGCTATATTGATGCCAAAAATGGGTACGATCCAGCGTTTTGTTCAGGAGATATTCAAAAACAAACACACAAAAGTCATCGACGTCACCCGCCACGTCCACTTATATCGCGGCGTGCTACTTATCGTGTACCAAGGTGAGACTGGATACTTGCTTGTGTTATTCCCAAGGCTTCTAGGGTCATCTGTACGAAGAACCAGCTCGGTCCGTCGCTCCCTTCAGGAGATATTCAAGGACAAACAAACATTATTTTCATATTACTTCGTTGTTCATTCTATCATCGTCATCACGACCTCGGGCCGCTCCGCCCATCTGCTGTCCAAGTACCGCCCACGCTGCCCCATCATCGCCGTCACGCGCCACGACCAGACCGCGCGTCAAGCGCATCTGTACCGTGGCGTGCTGCCTATTGTCTACCAGGGTAAGGTTCTATGTTACTTCTTAGGCTTTTAAGGTCATCTGTTCGAAGAATCAGCCCGACCCGTCGCTCCGTTCAGGAGATATTCAAGAACAAAGAAACATTATGTTCATCTTTCTTCGTCATCACCACCGCGCACCAGGCGCATTTGTACTATGGCGTGCTGTATATTGTGTACCAGGTTAAGATAAGCATGTCATTTCCTGGGTTTTAAGCTACATCCTTGCCAAAAATCAACTCAATCCGGCGTTTCGTTCAGGAGATATTCAAAAACAAAGAAACACACAAAAGTCATCGACGTCACGCGCCAAGACCAGACCGCGCGACAGGCGCATCTGTACCGCTTCGTGCTGCCTATTGTCTATCAAGGTGAGAGTGGAAACTAGTCTCATGTCTCTCCCCAGACTTCTAGCTATATCGATGCCAAAAATGGGCATGATCCAGCGTTTTGTTCAGGAGATATTCAAAAACAAACACACAAAAGTCATCGACGTCACCCGCCACGTGCACTTATATCGCGGCGAGGCAGAACGCCGCACATCATGTACCAAAGTGAGACTGGATACTTGCTTGTGTTATTCCCAAGGCTTTTAAGGACATCTGTACGAAGAACCAGCTCGATCCGTCGCTCCCTTCAGGAGATATTCAAGGACAAACAAACATTATTTTCATATTACTTCGTTGTTCATTCTATCGTCGTCATCACGACCTCGGGCCGCTCCGCCCATCTGCTGTCCAAGTACCGCCCACGCTGCCCCATCATCGCCGTCACGCGCCACGACCAGACCGCGCGCCAGGCGCATCTGTACCGTGGCGTGCTGCCTATTGTATACCAGGGTGAGGGTGAAAACTGTTCAATGTTACTTCTCGGGCTTTTAGGGTCATCTGTTCGAAGAATCAGCCCGACCCGTCGCTCCGTTCAGGAGATATTCAAGAACAAAGAAACATTATCTTCATCTTTCTTCGTCATCACCACCGCGCGCCAGCCGCATTTGTACTATGGCGTGCTGTATATTGTGTACCAGGGTAAGATAATCATGTCATTTTCTAGCTTATAAGGAACATCCTTGCCAAAAATCAACTCAATCCGGCGTTTCGTTCAGGAGATATTCAAAAACAAACACACAAAAGTCATCGATGTCTCCCGCCATGTGCACTTATATCGCGGCGTGCTACTTATCGTGTACCAAGTTGAGACTGGATACTTGCTTGTGTTATTCCCAAGGCTTCTAGGGTCATCTGTACGAAGAACCAGCTTGATCTGTCGCTCCCTTCGGGAGATATTCCAGGACAAACAAACATTATCTTCATCTTTCGTCGTCATCACGACCTCGGGCCGCTCCGCCCATCTGCTCTCGAAGTACCGCCCACGCTGCCCCATCATCGCCGTCACGCGCCACGACCAGACCGCGCGCCAGGCGCATCTGTACCGCGGCGTGCTGCCTATTGTCTACCAAGGTGAGAGTGGAAACTAGTCTTATGTCTTTCCCCAGACTTCTAGCTATATCGATGCCAAAAATGGGCACGATCCAGCGCTTCGTTCAGGAGATATTCAAAAACAAACACACAAAAGTCATCGACGTCACCAGCCACGTCCACCTATATCGCGGCGTGCTGCCTATCATGTACCAAAGTGAGATTGGATACTTGCTTGTGTTATTCCCAAGGCTTCTAGGGACATCTGTACGAAGAACCAGCTTGATCTGTCGCTCCCTTCAGGAGATATTCCAGGACAAACAAACATTATCTTCATCTTTCGTCGTCATCACGACCTCGGGCCGCTCCGCCCATCTGCTCTCGAAGTACCGCCCACGCTGCCCCATCATCGCCGTCACGCGCCACGACCAGACCGCGCGCCAGGCGCATCTGTACCGTGGCGTGCTGCCTATTGTGTACCAGGGTAAGATAATTATGTCACTTCACTTTTGGCAAGGATGTACCTTAAAACCTATTTTAAGGTACATCCTTGCCAAAAATCAACTCAATCCAGCGATTGGTTCAGGAGATATTCAAAAACAAACACACTTAAGTCATCGCCGCCACGCGCCACGACCAGACCGCGCGCCAGACGCATCTGTACCGCGGCGTGCTGCCTATTGTCTACCAGGGTAAGATAATCATGTCACTTCATACGTTTTAAGGTACATCCTTGCCAAAAATCAACTCAATCCGGCGTTTCGTTCAGGATTTATTCAAAAACAAAGAAACGCACAAAAGTCATCGCCGTCACGCGCCAAGACCAGACCGCGCGCCAGGCGCATCTGTACCGCGGCGTGCTGCCTATTGTGTACCAGGGTGAGACATTTGCCTGTGTTATTCCCAAGGCTTCTAGGGTCATCTGTACGAAGAACCAGTTCGATCCGTTTCTCCGTTCAGGAGATATACCATGCTCCATCATCGCCGTCACGCGTCACGACCAGACCGCGCGCCAGGCGCATCTGTACCGTGGCGTGCTGCCTATTGTCTACCAAGGTGAGAGAGGAAACTAGTCTCATGTCTCTCCCCAGACTTCTAGCTATATCGATGCCAAAAATGGGCATGATCCAGCGTTTTGTTCAGGAGATATACAAAGACAAACAAACGCCCACCGAACCCTAAGCTGCAAATGTTGCAAACCTCTTACTGCCTATTGTGTACCAGGATGAAAAAAAACTGTCTCATGTCATTCCCTTTCCCATTCATCCCTAGTAATTTAGGGTAATCTGTAAAAAAAACTAGCTTTTTCCGACAGTCTTCAGTTCAGTTGTTAATCAGAGTCATGTTTGTTACTTCACGATATTTCTGCAATATAATGAACACATCGGGCGGATTTAATTTTGTTTTTTTTATCCACAACGAGGAAGCTCTTGGCCTGTATCTCACCTGATGGTAAGTGATGATCAGGCCGAAGGTGGAAGCGAGCTTTACCCGGAATCCTCAACCACGGAGGAACTAGATATCTTACCTCTAACTGCCGGAACACAACAATTCTGTTAACATTGTTGTTATGGCGACAGACTTAGGTAAAATGGTGGTCTAGCTACCACCATTTTACCTAAGTCTGTCGCGGTCCCAGGCCCAGGCGGACTTAGAACAAGCCCTACCACCAACTCGGGACCTCTGCATCTGAAGCAGGTGGTCTTACCACTAGACCACAGAGGCGGTTATGTATGCTTAGATCTTGAAAACTACGAAGCAGATTTTGATGCGGTTTTTTTAATAGATAGAATGATTCACGAGGAAGTTTTATATGTATACTTAGCACCCGTGCAAAGTCCCGGCGGGTTAGTTTTAAACAGTTTCTAATCAACCAATATTTGTCCCACAGAGTCTGCGGCGGGCGACTGGCTGAAGGACGTGGACAACCGCGTACAGTACGGGCTAAAGTTCGGTCGCGCGCGCGGGTTCATCAACACCGGCGACTCCGTCGTCGTCGTCACCGGCTGGCGGCAGGGCTCCGGCTTCACCAACACTATGCGTGTCATGTCAGTACCCCTGCCTTCACGAATTCAAACTAGTTCCGTCTCCTTTTTGCGAGTGTTCCACTGATGATGTCAGTCATGAGCAGTCTGCCCATCATATCTTGTGGGAGTGTGATCTTTGGAAACATGAACGTGATATAATGCTTAATTCAATACAACATACATCTGTTTCCGCAATTTATTACACCGATCTTGTCGCGACAAGGAAAAATTTCCGTGCTTTTAAGCGATTTTGTGAAAAATATTATTGGCAGGTAGTTGCTAATTGCTCATAAGATAGGCCCCCTTAATTTAATTTATTGTCCGTGGTGCATAATCTTTTTCTTAAAGGTTTTAAACCTTTGTTTGTCACCTGTCATCCGCTTTGCAATGGAGGGAAGTCGAACCTTAATTTCGAACTCCTNGCCCCCTTAATTTAATTTATTGTCCGTGGTGCATAATCTTTTTCTTAAAGGTTTTAAACCTTTGTTTGTCATCTGTCATCCGCTTTGCAATGGAGGGAAGTCGAACCTTAATTTCGAACTCCTCCTATGTTCTTCTGATTAATTTCGTTGCGGGTCCAATGACAGTTTAACTTTCCCCCGGGACAAACTTGACCTTCATTGGTTGGGTTTTTGTGGCGGTCAAGCTGTAGATCCTGGCTACACAGGAGTTGCAGTGGTGGGAACGAGAGGTGGGAATAGTCCCGTTACCCCTGCCTTGCTTTTAGTTCGTTCGTTCGTTTCAGCCAAATGACGTCCACGGCTGGACAAAGGCCTCCCCCAAGGTTTTCCACAATGAACGGTCCTGCGCTGCCCGCATCCAGGCTCTTCCCGCGACCTGTACCAGATCGTCGGTCCACCTAGTAGGAGGCCTGCCCACGCTACGTCTTCCAGCCCCTTGCTTTTAGTGATTTCGCGAAAAATATTATTGGCAGGTCCCATGATAGGTCCCTTAAGTCGACCCTTAACTTCGAACTCCTGTGTTCTTCCTCCTTCTCTCTCCAATTTCATAGCAGATCCAATACAGTTTAACTTCCCCCGGGACAAACTTGACCTTCACTGGTTGGGGGTCAAGCTGTGGATCCTGGCTACACAGGAGTTGCAACGATGGAAATAGTTCCATACACTTTACTTGCTTCTAGCTGTAAGGTCGTGGGAAGCACCTGGATACGGGCTACGTAGGACCGGTCGTTGTCGAAATCCTAGAGGGAGAGGCCTTCGAAATATAAAATATAGTAGCTCGCTCTTACTAAATATTCTGCAAACGAAACAGAAAGCAAATGTCAGTGCGACTACGCAAGACGTCAGCGCAGACAGCGTATACATTGATGCTAATCTTTGCTTGTGTTTATGGCCTCAACTCTCTTTGCACGACCAATACAAGTACTTTGCGATACTTATCCATATTTATTTATTGCATCTTGTTATATGATTAGAAATAACTCTCCTTCTGGCGAAGTTTAGTAATTAAATTACTTAAAAATGTTTTTATTACTAAAATTGTACCTAATTTTGAATTTTTCTTTTTTCAGCCACGTGGAGTAAACCAGCGCTTC